AACAAAACTGCATTGAAGCCAAGTATGTTGAGAAGACGCAGGTGGTGTACTCTCGTGTCACGCAAAACCTGAAACATACATGCCGTATATATCAACCTTGAACTGGTTTAGTTAACCTGATACATTGATATGACACCACTTCAAACACATCTAGTAACAAAAACACAATGTTTTCCCAGATTTAACAAGGTATTTCTTTCCTGCACATAATAATAATAGTTAATAATAATAATAATGATGAGAAGAAGAAAAAAAAGAAGCAGAGAAGAATACATTTTATTTTGTGTAGTTCCTTTCTCAAAGTCAAGACACTTAGGTTGCTGTATATCTTAAAAAAAACCAAAAAAAAAAAACAATAACAAAACAAAACAAACAGCAAAAAACCCAAAGCATTCAGTGTGGGGCAAAAATAAGAAAACAAAAATACATGTTATACAGTATTGTAAAATGTCAATAGTTATTAATCACCAATTTGATTATGATTACCAAGGTTGCTTGGAGGTGACCTCATATATTTACAGCTAACCTACCGCACCTCTACACTGTAGGCCAGGATTAGTTGAATTTATTAAAAAAAACTGAGCAAACCAGTTGTTGTAAAAAAGTAATGTGAAAACACGAGTTAGAAAAACCACAAGTTTTGTGTTAGACTAACATAAACACGTTTGTGCAACTCATAAATTCTAATTATTTTAACTTTGAGTTAAACAACCCTAAAATCGGAAATATAAGTTTCATTAGAGAATTAAGAAACTTTTTCTAATCAAGTGATATCCACTTTGCTAAACACCAAACGGTAAACCCTTAACGTGAACATGGTCACCCGCCACCACAGACCCACACTCAGCAGCAAAGAGAATGACAACTTGCTCTTTTAGCCAACAACCCAAGGTCAGGCAGCTGAGTAAAGCATATATGAAAAGCATACGCCTGAGGAAAAAGTAGCCTGGGTGGAATGAAAATGCACGTATCGTGAGTAAAACAAATGGAAATAAACACTCAATATGCAAACAGATGGAGCCAGGAGCCAAAGGTAAAGAAATACGTTTTATCCAACAAGATCATGTTAACAAAACAAACAAACTAAGTTAAACTCATCTGTTGAGCAATTTTAATGAGAGAGAAACTATTACAATTTTTTAAATGTTTGGTTTCAAAGCTATCATGGTAACAGGCTAAATAGCCATACATTAATTCAAACCATAAGTTAACTCAAAAATGTCATCTGAGTGTATGAAATCATCCCTTAACTTATAATAGTTTAACAATGTGTGGGATATTGCTCAACTATATAGATGTAGGACAAATATTTAGTTTTATGTACAACAGACTTAATTTATTTGAGTTAAAACAAACTGCAGGATTACAGTGTAATGCTCAGAATATATAATCTTGACATCAGGATACAGGTACAAAAAGCCTTGAACGAGAAATTTCCTCCTTTATTACAGAGCACATTGAGCTGTTCAGTAAAGAGTGTGGTGTTGATATGAACTGACTGCCTAAGTACTTTTTAAATTATGTTTTATGTATCCTGGTATTGGACTTTTACTGTCAGTGTTTTGTTTAGTCATGTGTGAAAATTCCCTGCAGGTGTTCATTCAGGGCTCTGCTATAAAGAGATGGATAGTGACTGGTTACAGACCAGTTACAGTTCCATGTGCTTAAACGTGTTTTTAAATGACGATACTCAAACACATCTCCTTTCATTTTAGTCCTTCACATTTAGTTCCTAACACCTTTTTGTGTTTAATTTCATCCTGTTCTGTTGGTTCAGCTCCTGGGGTGCTTTGCTGTTGCTCACACCTCTCACTTACTAACTTTAGCATTTCATTTTTCACCAAAACAATGTCAAAATGAAAAGCACAGTGCCTAACAAACCTCCCTCCAATGTTCAGAATATATCATCTTGACACCAGGATACAGGTACAAAAAACCTTGCGGATATGCTGACAGACGTATTACAAATGGATTTACTATGACTGATTAAAGATGTACTAAGTTGTTCCACTCAGTACTTTTTCCAGTATGTTTTATTTTTTTTAACTGATACCTTTGCTCTCCAGATTAAATTGTAGCTTCTTTACTTCTACATTATTCATTAGTCATTATTAAAGCAACAACACCTTTAGGTTTTAGGCTACTCTACCCAGCTCGACACTGAAAAACAACTGTACTTAGACATTTACCTTTTTGGAGAATATGTTCTGCAAAGAAAAGCAAAGCGTAGCTGCCAGAGCACTGATCAGTCCCGAGACGTCAAAGGAGAGTTCGGTGACTGTGGCCAACAAGACACCACCTATGATTGGTATTAGAGAGATATAGACCTAAAATGACAAAAACAGGGTACAAACTCATGAACAACAATGCATATAATACAGACCGAGCATATTAAACCTCTTAAGCAATGAAACTTTTGGGTGAGACTGAAAACCAATTATAGCTAACAGACAGTCTGGCACTGAAAAGCTGGGCATAAACATTGCAAACCTTTAAAATACTTACTTTTGTGGTTTGCTTCTCCTTCATAATCATCCGTGATAACAACACAACCCATATGGGCATGGTGGCTTTCACTGTGAAAATGAGCAGTGAGCAGTTAGGGCATGTCTGCATTTCACTTCAGAGTCACAGTAGCTATCACAATGTGTCATGAGGCAGTGAAATACTGATTATCAGATTATTTTTTCAAATATCATTGTGGCTCAGGGCGGTTTCACCACAATACAAATTCAATAGCAAGTTGTATGAACACACCCACAGATCAACACCTCCTTTCATTCCCTGTTAAACAGGCCAGTGCCAGTTTAAGATTTCTAGATTAAGATTTTCTACATTTTCTACAAGATTTTCTTTTTTAAAACCCACTCCTGCAATGCTGGGGGATTATTGTCTATACTGACACACCATGATACTGACAGACTACACTTTTAACTACGCCTTTGATAGATGTTGCGCATTACATCCATTGAAATTGACCACAAAATAACAATGTCCCCATCATCTACTTTTCATTTTCCTAATTCCATTTGTGCTCTTTTCTCTGGAATCCAGGACCTGACAATTAAAAACAATGTATGTCATTTGCACCAGACTGTTTTAAGAGAAAAGTTAATACCAATTTAGACTAAATAAACAGTCCGTTTTCCTTCTGTAAATCTGATTTCTGTGATTAACATTCACAGTGTAGGGTCTCTTTGGTGTAACAAGGCAAAACTGAAAAAAAAAAAAACAGTCCAGTTAAAATAAGCTATGTTAGATTTGCAAGACATTAATTTGGCTTGGCGTAGCAGTAACGTATCTACTTAAGCAGCATGAGTTCATTAACTTTATTCAATTAAGCCCAAATATCACGTGATATCGCGATATATATGGAAGCTATCGCGACACTGAATTGAATCGATATAATCCAGCACTGCATTCCTCTCACAAATTCCTTTAATGCTGTGGCGATGGACATTTGTTTAGTGTTGCACACGCAGGCGGCAGATATGAACGAGTAATATGTGAGGTGAACAGGTCATTCAGGTTCACGTTCGTTCCAGATAATGAAATCAGGCCCGAACTCTTCTGGCTACGTAGCTAACGAGGCCGGAACTTGAGGACTTTCTTCAGGTTTAGCTAAGCTAAGCTAACGCTGACTGCCTGCTGGAGTTGAATGCTGACAGCTGGATATTTTCCACACAGGTTTAGGACCAAGAAAAAAAAAGACAACACGAAATGAACGAGTCCTCAGCAGGACCTAAAATAACTCTGACACAGTTAGGCCGTTTAATTTAAGGCTAAATCCAAGCAGCGAGTGTCAGCCAGCCGGTCTAAATTAGTAACCTAGTGGTCTCCAGTTGTCGTCGTCAGGCTAGCCACATGCTAACAGAGGCTGATGTTGACTGAAGAGGGAAAGGGGGAAATTTAAAAACTGAACTTACCAGTGTGAGCGTATGACACGGGTACCTTCCATATGCTGAAATGAGCCGACACAGACGCGAAATATTTTCCAAAAGCCAGCGGAAGGATGTACCATCGGTAGTATCTGCCAGGTACTTCAGATTTGGGGACTCCCCAGGCTCGCAACAGCGGCGGCAGAAAGATGACGATAGAGAAAATATGGAAGAGGGAGACGGTGACCGGATAAGGGAACCCGTTCAGGATGATTTTGTTAACGACGTTGCCCCCGGAGCTGACGGTATACCAGCACAGGCAAAGGAGACCGATCCGCATTCCCTCCTTCACGGGCAGACGCTCCACCGCAGCCATCTTCCCCAGTGTCGGCTCACCGGCGGCTGCAGCTTCATACGTGGAGCTCAAACTTCGTAATGCAGTGGGAGGGAGGAAAGGAGGGAGGAGGGGAAAGTGGGGGAGAGAAGGCTGCATTCAAGAGATTCGTCTGTTGCGAAAGGTTCTCTCTCAACTTTCATGCAGCTGATTTAAAGGTATATTCTACCCTTTTTTCAAAATGTCTGCATAATTCAGCGGTTGAGATGTAAACAATATCATGGTTTGACGTGAAATGGTTAATTTATAGAGAAACTTACACAAATTTTATTTACTATCCAAAACCACCAGTGCACCTACACGTGGCTTGTGAGTTTTTTTTATAATTTATATATTTTAATTATTTTTTATAATATATAATGTTGATGGTAAATCTGAAAAATATTTTCTTTGGGCACTACTTTGCCCTAGAACACCCTTTATGTATGCCTCCACCATGCATAGATAAAAATAGATTACTATACGTTTTAGGCCAACATTTTACCACAGCACTACCGTAAAACACTGTGTGAGGGAGCCTTTAGAGGCATTAAACCCTTCAGACGTCTGGTTCCTATCACCACCACTGTGAACAATTCTGACTTTGTTCTCTAGAACAAAGCATTTCACACCCAAACCACCCTGAATGACTTTGTTAACAATGCAACCATTTAATTATGCAGAAATTGTGAAAACTCGTTTAGAGTTCCTCTTTAATTTTAACAAAATAAAAGCCACACTCGAGTTACATTTCTAGGGACTTGGTGTGCCACTTTATTGACAAAAAGAAAACCGATTATTTGAGTAAATCCTGTTATACCGTTAGTATTATTGTGAATAAAATAATATACTTGATTTGAAAATGCCTCCCAAGAATAAATAAAACACACAACAAAGCGAATTTTAATAGATATCACATTCATATCATAACATATTCTAAGAAAACAGGCCTATAAAACATACAGAGCTCCTCCTGCTTTTTGATAGTTGGTCTGGCTTGAAAACCCGCACTAAACTGATGTTGATTGCACTCTTAATTTGGTGTCCCTGCTTGGCCACTATTATTGCTGCTAGCAGCTATTCTGTAATAAACAGCTCAAGGTAAACTCAAACACACACCTAAGACTTTTAAAGAGCTGCTCAGTAAGGTGAGATTTGTTTAAATCATCTTTCAAAAGTATGTCTTCTTCCAAGTAAACACCGTCCTTTGCAACCATCTGTAGACCACACCCATCCCTATTCTTAAATGAATACAACAGATTTTGACATCTAAAACAAACACAAAGTCAGAATAAATACATAAAATATTACAAAACAATTAATACAATTAATAGTACATCACTATTAATCTGTTCTAGACTTAAAGTGTACCAGCGGTGCATACAACAGCTTTTTTCATTACCTGTTTTTAACAATCCATCATTACCTGTTTATTACCTTTTTTAACAATCCAAAGCAAGCACAAAAAGTCAGAATAAATAAATACAAAACATTAGAAAACAGTTAATATATAACCATAAATCTGGACCAGGCATAAAGGCGGTGTTTGATCCTGAGATGCACTTTTTATTATAGAAATGGTTTTAGTCTATGCATACATATGGCAAAATATTAAGTTTATTTCCATCCCCATATGGATCCAAGGATATGCAGTCAGTCCAGTCATACCAGTTGCCCGTACTGTCGTAACAGCCATTAACCCCTGACCAGTGCTGATTGTGTATTCTGCTGAGGTCTTCTGATGTGATGTTTCGGCCTATTCCTGGAATGTCTGCCTCAGAGATACTAGGCACCTGCAGACAGACTTTGTTGGAGTCCGTCATATGGTCTTCTTCGTGTTTCAAGTACTCTGTCATAAAAGAGTTTGACCCTGGGGTTTGATTTCCAGAAGTTTTTAGCAAGTTACTTTGAAGGTTTAAGTAGTATTTCACAATTTCATTCTGTGATAAATCTTTCCAGTTTGTCTTGGGCAAAGCACTGGGTGATGAAGCAGGGCGGCTTTGCTTCAGGTTGTCTGATTCACTAACATCTAACACTGAACTGTGCCGCTCCTCAATCTGGTTGACACTTGCAGATCTTATTTGTTGTGTGAAGGGATCAAAGGTTAATTTACGATTTTTCACTCGAGTAGGTTTGCTCTCCTCTGCTGAACGTCCCTCCAGATTGCCGGCATCGTCTTTTGACTGATGCTTCCTCCTCTTTGCCTCAGATGGTTTAACGTCTTTTTCAGTTTCCACGTTGGTGACCTCGCTGAGTAAGCCTGAATGAAGACGTTTTAAGCCTCTGGACTTTTGGGGCAAGGTATTCATTTGTTCAAGAGTTCTCTCATTGTTTTCAAAGGGTTCAGTATCACGATACTGTGGCAAGGCCTCTTTTGGTTGCTGACTCTCAGTGTGCATGCCGTGGACGGAAGAGTTTACTGGCAGTGCAGAGAACGGTTCAGAGTCAGAGCAGGCAAATGATGTTGGCCACTTGGTTGTCACTGCTGGCTTTACTGTTCGAGGACTAGGAGACGTGCAATGACTTTGGAGTTTTTGCTGCTCTTTCTTAGTAGCAGCTCTGTCCCTTTGTCCATGTTGTTGTAATACCGAAGTTCTAAGGACTGAGGAAGCATCAGGCTGTTTGCTGTGTTCAGGAGATGTGAGATGAGGCTTGGTGGTACTGGCCTTAATTGGAAGAGCCACACCAGAAAAAGTGTCTGGACCCCCAACATTTCCACTGGCTGATGACAGTGCAGGTATCTGTCCACAGCCTGATGTTTTTGAGACCTTTAACTTGGGGCTCTCTTCTGCTTTCTGCTCACTCTTTTGACTAATGGCCTGCAACTTTTCAGTGTTTGATGAGTGACTAGTGAGTAAAACAGGCTTCTTGTCCGTACCTGTTGCAGTCTGGACAGATTTAGTAATAGGTAACGATGGAGTTTGGTTGCATCCATTACCAGTGCTTGAAAGTTCTTTCGGCAATTTTTCATTTTGCTGTGGCTCAATCAGCTTCTGCCAGTTACGCAGAAGCTTCTTTGCACGCTTAGCCAGATCCTCATCCCTGGTCCTCTTCCTCAAGTCATTAATCAGCTTCCCAAGGCGTGTTTCCTTGAACACAAAAGAACCCATCTGTTATACTAGAATTGTAATTAATACATCTATAACTGAATGGACTGATATTTTCAAAAAAGTAACACAATAACCTACTTTTCAAATGTGTGTTGTTATATTTTTAATAACAATGACTTTAAAATATCATAATAACATGACTATTCTAGACTTTAAATAAGTGCACTGTTGATAGCTGTATATAAACACTAAGCTCTCCTGTGCATAAAGGATCAGAGTATGTTACTGAGGATTTGTGAGTTAACCTGAAGTGTACTGTACATTGTCTCTAGTTTGCTGAGCTACTTAAAGGTGAACAGCCACATGTGAGATTTAAAAGGCAGTCTGTAAGGATTCAATGCTACCACAAAAAAGAAAGCAATTCCGAAGCAGGAAATGCAGCCATGTCCAGCTACGTCTCTTGGTCATTAATTGTTGTCCTCAGTATTTACCAAAAGCCAGCTCAATCCATGAAATATCCTTGACATTTATTTTCAAAATGAAAAGGCTAATAATTTATAAACACTCAGCTAAGAGGCCTTGGTGCCCTCATGCCAAGTAACTCCTGGCCATATGCTGCACAACTAGCCTCAAGTTAACACTGAATTTTGCAAGCTTTTAGTTTGCTCAGATTCAGTACTGGGGTTCTGGTGTGATGTTACTGATTTGTGTAAAGATGAAGAATAAAAATTATATATCTGATATATCTATATAAATAATCGAAAGAAAGAAAATAACAAAAAAAAACATGAATAACCATTTTAGTTATGACTTCCAGCTCTGATAAAACCAGTAACACAGCAGCAACTGTTAATATTATTAATATCTGGAGTTCAGCCACTGTTATGGCTTCTTATTTGTTTGCCCTGCATTCAGCTGTCATCAACTGGAATACATATGTAGTTGGAACATGGCCAGAGAAATAGTCTGTTCTCTCGAAATGCCAGACTGAATACTTGCACCAGAACAACATGTAACCTTGTAGGATGCAGGTTCTGTAAATGTGTGCAAGGTATGTTGAGAAATCTAAGAAAGAAAGAAAGAAAGAAAGAAAGATAGAAAGGTTGTTGGAACACACTAGATAATAGTGATGGGTAGATACTTGTGCTGATTACTGAAGTTGGTTAAGGAATGGCTTTTTGGTCACATGAAAAGCATTCACACATACCTGTACATGTAGAATATAATATAACCTGAACAGGCAGTAATGATGACAACTAGAATAATTCACAACAACATAATAGCACTTTTTAGGAGTAAGAACTGTAAATTATATGTTACACTGTACCCGAGTCTTGGCACACTTTATGTTAAATAAACAGTATAAGTGTGAAGAAAACAACTTTAATTTAGTAACCACCTAAACATTTCTTACCTCAAGTGCCTCCTTGGTGATGGGGTATTTCTCTAGGTTGGATATTACATCCAGTACAGCCACCATGTTGTGGATCTGCTAAATGGTAGCAATGGAATTACATTACAAAACAGCCATTTCTAGCATATGTTGCCATTTTTCATACAAAACTTCATACAACTACAGTTTCTACTGTACAAAGATAGTACTTAAACTAACATTGAATAAAACATTATTGGAGACCTTGTAGCAAAGGCTAAAGTCCTAATTAGGCTTTTCTTTAGAGCTAAATTACAAAATATGCCTATCAAGAAAATAACTGAATATGAAAAGCAACTCTTAGGTTAAAAAAAAAAAACAAGCTGAAATATGACCAGAATGGACAAATCATTGTGTCACTTCCCCACCAATCTGATAGGAGTCATGTGGCAAAACCTACCAATGATTTTTTACATTTACACCACAGAGTTACTTTCCACAAGTGTTCAGATCTGTCATGAAGTTGATTTTTTGCTATGAGTCAGTTATTATAGGAAACCTGTTATCTGGCCACGTCTGTTACAGATTTGCTGACACGCTTGAAGCTTCCTGAGCCTGAAGAAATCAGTCCCAGCTATGAAAGTTGAAGGGGTTTCATCACCTTTAAATAAACTGCACCTGCAAGTTATTGTCCAAAAAGTTTCAGGTTTCTGTTTAACACTCTGTTACAAACATGCAAATCGTGCATGCGAGTCTTACGTTCCAGTAATTAAACTGTTTGTGAGAGAAGTATGCAAATCTCAGGATTATAAGAATTTACTTAAAATATATATTTAAAAAAATCAGATTAGCTCTATTCTGTATTTTAACACTGCACTTTGTGCTGCTATCCATCCAGAAATATACATTCCTCCATTCTTAAAATGTTCATGGTGTAGATATAAAGTACTAAAGCCTTTTCACTACAGGTCACATAACGTTAGTCCTTGTGATTTGCATTTAGCAATGGTCCAGTCAACAGAGCATGCAGGCCTATCTCTAATGTATCTAATTTGATATGCATTCCACCTCAAATCACCCTGTTAAATGAGGAACATAATGTTTGAAATGCACAAACTAAACTAAACTTAGCTAAAAGCTGCGCCAAATTGAGAGTTCAAATGAGTGCAGGTCACTTTTTTTCAAAACTTAGCAGCCTGAGACTGTACAGTATTTGTGCTAACGTCATTTAAACGGGAGCTCTCCCAGTGGAAACGGGTTAGGTTATTTACACACAAGATTAATCCATCAGCAACATAAACACAATTACAATTATAAAGTATTCATAATGTAGGTCATACAGCCTAATACTACACAATGGACAAAGCTGTCTGGAATTCCACAACATTTTGATCAACACATGCACACATTACTTACAAAGCTGAGTTAATACGAGACAATGTCTGTTTTTTAATAATGTAAATTATAATGTAATGTTATATAAGCGTTCATTATTTACACAAAGCTCTAAAATACTGAGACTAGCCGGATTCTTAACGGTAGCTAGCGTTACCACGGAAGTGCTAGCACCACTGCCGAGGCATTAGACTGAACGTTTGTATACAGATAGGCTAGGCTAGCTAACCTAGCTAACACGAACCACCACACTGTGGCCGACACCGCGCTCCGTTTCAGGCTGAACTGAGTTGCTCTTTTGTTACTTACGTGACTCTGGCCGTCTATAGCTTGGAGCAGTCTGTCTCTCAGCTGCTGCGGGGTGCTCGGTGCTGTTGTCATGGCTGTAACGGGAGTGAGCGTTTCTTCAGCAGGTAAAACCTCCAGCAGACTTTGAGCCGCCGGCGACACATCGGAGTAAAGGCTACATAGCTAAACCTCCACTCGCTCGACTGTCAGACGCGGACACGGCGTACTCTGAGGGTCTAAAGAGAACAGAGCTGTCGGCGACCACGCACACGCACACAGGGCCGCTGCGAGCCGTCCTTTCACCGTCACGTGACCAGTGTCAACTAATCACGATGAGGCGCCGCGCGCCTGCAGACCTTGTTGTGTATTAAACAGGTTTTCAGTGTGATTTTCACAGCATATTAGTTGGGTGTGGTTATAAAGATTGTACAATAATGTTGTGGTGCTTGTGACCGCGATTAGAGTCGACTCTGCCTTAGCAGAGCTGCGATTTGCTCGGCCAATCAGATCCGACGGCGTCGTGTATGGAGCCAATCAGACGGCGCTCTGTGCGGAGCTTCAAGAATATTAATGCGTATCATACGAAAAGGAATCTCGATGATTCTCACCGTAACGCCGTTACTAGCGAAGCGAACGTTACCAGAGCCGGTTTATGACGTTGCTGTCGTGACGTCAGTCAAAAATAAAAAGAAAAAGAAAACAGATCTGGGCATCCCAAACATGTACAATAAACTCTCTTAGGGAATTTTAATAATGTGTCTGGTTATCACTTAAGTACGTGATATAGAATATGGAAATTAGAAATAATAAATAAACATTAGAGTAGCGGGAAAAATAATACTTTACGTATTTTGTGCATTGTTTTGTGAAGCACTTTGAGTTGCATTTCTGTGTATAAAAGACGCAATGAAAACTGTTATTATTATTATTATTATTATTATCATCATTATTATTATTGTTATTATGAAAAAGTGATTGGATTCCATAATTTCCATCTAAAAAAGCTTGCTAAGAAACAGAGGCAAAAATAAAATTAATCATATCCTTGATTTAAAAAATAATAACAAAGAAAATTGTGCCACTGTCCAAATACCTTCAGACCGCACTGCATCACAATTTTATTATTTCCATCACTTAATGTAACTGTAACATCATATGGAACAGTGAAAGTATCAAGTAGTAGCCAAACCTCACATATTTAGAAAAATAATGCTAAACTAATTGGTGAACATTTTAAAATATGGAAGGATTTTTTAAGTTATTATTATTATTTACCTTTACTATTATTTAGTAAATTACTATTTATATTTATATCAAATATAAGCGAATGCATTCATGAACACATTGGACAAAAATAATAGCTGGCACATATGTAAAATGACTATATACATATATATAATATATATGAATGTGATAGAGAAATGCTGCATTAACACACTCAGCTAATAACACAGAGAAGAAAAGCTGAGGTCTTGCATCATATTCTTCTTGTTTAGAGTGGTCCAGAGTGGTCTCAGCACTGACACCAGGTGCTGTAGTGTGTACCGCCCCCTGCTGGAAATTAACTGGACAACCTACAGTCAGCCGGTTCACTGAGACCGTTGAAAGTCCACAGCACGACACAGTATCAACTTTTTCCCTGCTTGGGCACAACTGATTCAGCTCACACAGCCTAATGACTGCTACACTCTGCAGAACTACATTTAAGAAACATTGATATAGCAACTTCACAACTGCTGAAACTGAGGTGGTGTGACATCATGGTTCCTTAATTTATTTTTATTAATGAATTCTTAACCATATTCTTTTAGTAGCTGGTTCATCTAGTGACTACCTCAAAATAGAAAGACATTTACACCCAGGCCTTTAAACATTATTTTTAATGTTTGATATCGGCAGAGTTTCACCAAACATATTACATTTACAAAATTATTCTTGAGAGCAAACAAAGTCTCTTCTCCTCACTGTTTACGGTTTTAATCAATCAATAGATCTCATGGAAATGTCATAATTTCCATATAAAAATACTTGCCAAGAAACAGAGGCAAAAAGAAAATTAATCGTATCCTTGATTAAAAACAATAATAACAAAAAAACAATAATAAACAAAACTATGCCACTGTCCAAATACCATCTGCATCCCTATTTTATCATTTATAACATTTAATGTTGTTGTAACATCATGTGGAACAGTGAAAGCATTAATATATAGGACGTTCAATGAAATTACAACATTCAAACATTACACATTTAAAGAAAAATAATAATAAACTAATTGGTGAACATTTTAAAATATGAAAGAATTGTACATTTCATTTATTATCACACTGAAACAATTGAAACATTCCCTGATTCAATCTCACAGTACCAATGGGAACATATTTCTATTCAAATATATACATCATTGTAAACAGTCTGAAATCAGACAGGAAAAGTTCAATTTCAGTTTAATAATTTACTGGAAATTCTGAAACGTAATTCCATCTAGTACTGAGTAATGAAAATTTAATTACGTTCCTGAAATAAAAAAGGAAAGGTTATTTTTGAAGAGGTGTAGGTAAATTAGGCAAATGAGCCATTATGCTAGTCTATAGCAGTGAAGAATAAAGAATAGTTGACCTAATTTGGAGAATGTATTCACCAGCCAATGTTTTCACACAATGAGTTTTACATATCATAAAACAAAAATGATAAGACATTATTCACAGTGAACCTATCAATTTGAGGGAACAAAAATACAAAAGAACTAGGTTCCAAGTGTGTCCAGTTAGATCTTCAGGCACCATTGCTACACCTTGTAAGGCAAAGATTTTCTCCAAGTTACTGGGGTGAAACTGCCCTCCTGGCACTTTCAGACCGCTTAAGTGAACACTCTCATCCCATCTGCTGCATAGCTGCACATGGTTCTCAGAGTTTCTCACTAAAAGTGAGAAAGAAGAAAAAGATTCACCAGATTTTTACTAGAATTCAGTACTAAAGCAATCATCTTCCATTCTACAATGGCATATTTACCATATGATATTTAAAAATCCATGAGTAAATGATCAAAAATAAAAATGCATACAACCATGATTTGAGTAGGAGAGGTACCTGAAGATTTTGTTGTGATGCAGTTGTAACACACTTACCTGTCTAAATGAGCCAAAAGCTCTTGGAGCTTGAGCAGCAGGGCCCGGTGCTCATGAGGACTGCTTTCTAAGGCATTGCTCAAACGGCTCAGATAAGAGTCCAGAGTTCCAACTGAGGGGGTCTCACCTGTACCTAAACACAGAGTCCAAGTTCACATGCCACTGAATACAAACTTGTACTTCAACATGTAGATAACAAACTGCCATAGGTTGAAGGTAGGATGTAAGCAGAAGTTGAAGTCACAAATAATTGAAAAGCAATACTGGTGAGAGATTATATAAAAGAACAGTATTTAGGCAGTTCTGTGAACCATAAGCAAAGTACTCACCATGGTATCGGAAATGCACAAATCACTGGAACATCTCTACAAAGGAAGAGTATGTGTGCTACTGACCTGGCAGGGGCACGGAGGCCAGACTGCTGACCAGTGTCTGTTTGATAGCCTGCAAGCGGCGATGCAAAGCTTGCGTGCGGAGCTCATCCTGGCCAAGCTCAGCTTCCAACCGCTCTTTGGCACTGAACATATCGGCTATATGCTTCTGCAGGACAGCGTTCTGCTCCTCAAACTCCATGTTAGCTTTCCGCAAACGCCGAAGCTCTGCCTCTCGTGCTGCAAGACAGAGGGCCATAAAACAAAAAGCTGTTTCTTTCCCAATTAAAGTGGTAACCTATTCTATATCATTAAAACTCACAAACCTTTGTTCTGGTCCAGGAACTCCTCAGTGAAAATCGGCACGTCAAATCTGTTGGACAAATCTGAACTCTGGGGGACAGAACGCTTTAAATGGGTCATGCTGAAATTCTAGGTCATGCATACACTGTAGACAAAAGAGGAAAATAAAATAATGAAAATATCTGTTAAGGTTTTATTTTAATTCAGTTTTTGCGACTTACCTTGAAAGTGGCCGATCCTGAACTATTGGCATTGATAATGACAGATGTTAACTCCTCTGCCAAAAAGCAAAAATAAACAAGTTTTTTTTTTTTCTTTTTTTTTAAAAAAAGCTTGAAATGAAAAGGGTTAGAATTAGTCTATAAAACTACAAAGGTTCCATAATGCACCAATACAGGTTTTACAAAGTACAAGAGACAAATATAACAATTCCAAGGGTCTTTCCACAGATGCTCTCTCAGGCAGGACAGTACAAGAAGGACAAAGAAATTTTTCTGACCTTTCTTAATTTTTTTGTCCTGAATTTTTGCATTTGTGAGCTGGTAGGCTTCACTTTTCTGATACTCTCTTAGTTCCCGTGCATATTGCATTTTTTCTCGTTCAGCCTCATCCAGGTAACGCTGTAAGCAAAGACATTCACTGCATTCTCAAGAAGGATGGAAATACAAAACACTGACTTCCAACTGAATAAAATGCCCACCTGGCACAGCTTTGTAAACAGATATACAACGTCAGAGACCACAACTTTAAAAGCAAAGGTACCTGTTTGTCATGGGGAGCGAGGCGGCTCCATTCTGCCCCAAGTCTCTTGGTGATTTCAGGGAAAGGAAGGTCAGGATGCAAGGCACGAATCTGTTCCCGTCGTTCATTCAGGAAGCGCACGTATCCAGTCACTGGTGCCTTAGGACCATTGGGTAACACCTTCTTCCTCTTTTTCCCCTTGGGCCAGCCACGCTTCTTTACGGGCTGTGCAGTAAGTGAAAGGTTTTTCTGTACAGATTACATTTGCGGAGCAGATTTGAAATACAAGCTAATTTCTTTATGTGCATGTATCTTTTTGTAAATAAAAAGCCATATTACAAGACAATGCAAATACTTAAATCTTACTTCTTCCTGCGTGGAGTCTGAATGATGAGTACTCTTAGATGCAGGGGCATCACTCAGTTCTTGTTTCACCCCTCCCATTGTAGACTTGTCAACTCAGGAATTTCTGAGAAAAATGTGACAAAATAAGCAGCTTCAATAAGTACAACCACCAAGTTTCTTAAGAATGAATTCAAGAGTGGTGGTAACAGAATTCGACAACCTGAAAGTAAGTTCCTTTGATTATTTCTTGCTAATTCCTTTTTACTTTAAAACACCAATTGTACAGGGTGTCCCAAAAAAATTACATCACTTTGTAGTCTAATAACATAGCCAATTTTCCCTCAAATATTCTCAAATTTTAACAAAATGTGTAAAAACTAACCAAGTTTAATTTTTAATGATTTTTTTTAAGATAGAGGAATGGCATTCACTAGAAATGAAAGGGCATTTTGTGTGTTAGAAATATGCTCGAACACAGTTAAACAAGTGTGTGCAGTGTGCATTTTCGACAAAATTCAATAAAAATGCACCAACTGGAAAGCAGATTTGGACATAGCACAAAAAAATCAAAGAGGAAGGCTGTCTTTGCAGGGCAAAGGGATCTGGACGACCACCAGCATCGGAAGATATTACATTTGTGAAGCTTTTTGAAATCGGTTATAAAATCTACATCCCTCTGAATTTCTTGTTCGAATTTTGATAAGTAAATCTTGTATTGTTCAACATGAAGGCTATTTAATTTCGTTTGCCCAGGACATGTAGTTACTCAGATATTCACATCTCAAGTGATGTCAATTTTTTGGAGACACCCTGTATTTCACTACCCAGCTAACTTAGTTAGCTCTCTCACACTGCTAGCTCGCTAACCAGCTGACCTGAGTTGTCTGTCCAGCTAACGAGCTAAGGTTAATCGAAACGTTCATAGCCCCAGTGTGGTTAGTTGTACATCTGAAAGTCACTACAGCCTAAGAGCTAATTTACTAAACAGAAACATAATTACTTCTGAGGTACTGTAGTGGAAGATGCTGAAAACGCAATGGGATTTTACCACTTGCACCCTCAGCTAGCATGAGCTAGCACAGCTCAGCCTACCTATTATTATTATCGTTAGCTGGGAAAGTGGCTAGCTTTGCTAGCTTAACATTTAGCTGTCTTGCAGACTCGTATCCGTTCACGAAAGGCATAGTGGTACTAAAATACGACGGTAAATCATTGCACTTTTCGAACACATGCGCTTATAATTAGCAGTGGTTCTCGGTTAACATTATATCCGTTATCTAATTTGCTAGCTGTAAACCGACTTTAGCCTACCTGAGTCGCTGCGTCCCCAAAAATCAACAAGAGTATTAAAACGTACGGCGCGTTCTCAACGCCGATTGGACGCCGTGGTGAGCCGGGATGAATTTGCGACATTTGATTGGTTGTTTAGCCTTGAGGGGGCGTTGCGACGACTTGTTACGATTCCTTTTTTCATTCAACGCCGTATCAGTTTTTCGCAAAGTGGATCAGCGGCAGATAGCCTACAGAGTTTTGAAAGGAATAATTATGGTACGTGCTTTTGTTTTTAAACTCACCAGTAAGCCTGTTATTGTCAGCTTAACAATGGAGCTACTCTGTGCAAATACTGTTGGGCGTTCATTGAGTTTTACCCTTTAAATAACCTTTCTGGAAGTGAGTAAACGTTAAGTGTGTTTTTGGACGCCTGAGTTGAACCTTATATGTTAATATGACTTTAAATCCCCCCAGTGTGAGTGTTTGAATGCAGTCTTTCTAATGTAGTAGCATACGTGGTGGTTGTTTGGAGCTGTGGTGTTCGTGCTGGTCATTTTCTTTTCATTCAAAAATGAATTTCAAAATGTGAGACTTCCACAAAGTCTCCCATGTAAACAAACCATGCTTACACGATCAATGGTCTTGGCTTGGCACCTCTAAAGTCTCGGAGCCTGACCGCGGCTTTCAGAGAGAGCATTTTAAAATCGCCTTGTGGTCTTAATGTAGGCTGTTAATAGTGACCCCTGATGTTTCATCGCAGGACCTTGCTTCAGTCAGTAGATTTAAAGACATCTCTTTATTGTGTACAGTAGTCTTTAATCTATGCCTCTTTACAAGATGACCATAAAGAGACCACAGAGAGATTTTTAAAGGGTATCCATTAAATATTCATGTATACAGATGCTACTGATGGTTTTCTTAATAAAATACAGAGGTCAAGGGTGCACCCAAGAAGGCAATACAGAACACTGTCCCTTTCGAGCTGGCTTATAAGGTAGTCATGTTGACACAATGAATGTGAATATCCGGGGAAACTGCACTAACATGCACTGCTCTGCTGCCTACATGAATTAATTGGGTAGGGCTCCAACTGCAAACAAAGCAAAGCAGGACAAGAAAGGTTCCTGAAAATGTACAAAGACACGAGGGCGTCCTAAAAAAATTCAGCTGTCATGGAAGATGTTGATGTCCCGGCCACCTAAAGCTCCATCTCTCCACCCTCTCTCGGGGAAAGACCAGTCACTTTTGGCCAGCATTTCTGGCTATGCGCTGTTGTGCATGTTTATTCCAGCAAAGCCTGCAGTGCTCTCCATCCAAGATGGCTGCGGGTGAGAGCAACAGCCGTTCCTCGTGTTTAAACCTGTCCACCCCGGGCCCGCTGGGAAACGCCCAGGCGAGCAACGGAGTCCACTCGGCCCCGGCGGGCAATGCGGGGTCTGGGGCCGCCGCCGGAGGGCTGAACAGGACCACAGGGAGCACTAACCCACAGCCAGGCCTGGACAGCGACGTCGCGGTGAGGGCCACGCCGAGCGCGCAGCACCAGGCTCGGCAGGCGGCCGGCCAGAGCGCCGCCGTGGCGGCAGCAGCAGCTAACGTAGAATCTCCGGGAGGCTCCGCGTCCAACATGACGACCTCTTCGTCGGCTTGCTCGGCGGATACGGCCGCCATCTCTTCATCGCTGCCCGGGAGCCCGGCCTCCGTGCTGGTGTACCGGGAGCCCGTTTACAACTGGCAGGCGACGAAAAGCACGGTGAAGGAAAGGTTCGCGTTTCTCTTTAACAACGAGGTGCTAAGCGACGTCCATTTTTTGGTTGGGAAGGGGATGGGTGTGCAGCGCATTCCTGCACACAGGTAAGGTAGAAAATGATGCAGTAACTTTTTGACATGATGGTCTTATCACTCATGGTCCTGTTTTTTTAAGCTAAAATTAGCCCCAATATATTAAAACCTAAAATATGGGTTAGGCAGAAGCTTAGAAGTGCCCAAACGGAGGATTAGCTGACCATATTTCACGGTGAAATGGTGACGTTAAAGTACAAAGCTAGCTGCGGTCTAGTAGTGAAACCGAGGAGCTCCGTAAGCTACTGTTGTTATCATTCGCCTTCACAACTTCCACGTCAGTTGACGCTTGTAAATGATGTTGAAGTGCAAACAAACGTTGGCTAAAGCCACCGTTTCTTGTCCCGACATGATTTGTGCCACTCGAAACTACATTTTTGCCTTTTATTAACACTGCTCCTCCTTTTTCCTCTCCACAGATTTGCTCTCGCCGTCGGGAGCGCTGTGTTCGACGCCATGTTCAACGGAGGCATGGCCACAACATCGACAGAAATTGAGCTGCCAGATGTGGAACCGGCTGCTTTTCTGGCTCTCCTCAAGTAAGAACCAAACAATAAAGGTTTTATGGTGCACTAGTGACCGCTGCTTGTTTATGATGGTGGCTTGTGTTGTCATAAATGCCCTTGAAGTGTCCTTGCAGTTACAGTTATATGGGATCAGTACATAATGTTTGGGGTGTGTGGTGTGGTTTGAGTTGTGAAGCTGTTGATGGAGCCCTAAAGATAATTCCACCGATTTTTCAAGTTTTTTTGCATAATTTCGTCGTTGCGGTGTAAACAAAGTCATTCAGAGAGGTGTGATGTAAAATGGTTAATTGTAGAGAAAGGCACAGATTTCTTTACAGTGGTGGTGATAGAGACCAGGGGTCGCGATGTCTGCAACACAAATATAGACATTTTATTTATTATTAAAAACCACTTGTGAACCTACACGTGTCTTCCAAGTTTTTATGTGTTATGTTTATCTTGGTAAAATTGTGGAAAGTCTGAAAAAATAACACCCTGCATGTATTCCTCCACCATTAATGGATTAAAATAAAACGGATTAAGATGTTTTAGTCCAAAACTTTATCACTAAACTCACTGTCCCAGGCATCAGGCAGCATTTTCTGTGTATTCATTTCATGTAACAACTTTCTGTAAGGGAGCATTTGAAGGCATTGAACTCTAAAGACATCTGGTTCCTGTCACCACCACTGTGAACAATTCTGAATCAGTAATTTTCTCTAGAACAGAGCATTCACACCAAACCACGCTGAACGACTGTTTACATCTTAACTATTCAATTATGTAAACATTTTGAAAAATTGGTGGAGGTCCCCTTTCATCCACTGTGTAGGATGGCTCTTATGCTGACTGATTCTCTCCCCATGCAGGTTTCTATACTCCGATGAGGTGCAGATTGGCCCTGAGACAGTAATGACTACATTATACACTGCAAAGAAGTACGCAGTGCCTGCGCTTGAGGCGCACTGTGTGGAGTTCCTGAAGAAAAACCTACGTGCTGACAACGCTTTTATGTTGCTTACCCAGGTAAGGGCTGATTTGATTGCGACCTTTGCTCCTGGTATGAGAAGCTGTCAGGCTGTGTAATTTAATTATTTGCTGTCTCTGCGGAAGGGTGTGTCCATGACCATAATAACTTAACATTACCAGAGAAGGCACCAAGCGTTATCTAGGTTTTGTACAGTTTACTGTAGATTTTTGCAGTATGTCCAAAAGCATTCAGACACCCCTTCTGTTGAGTGAATTCAGTTACTTTGAGGTGCACCCATTGCTGACACATGTGCTCAACTGCACATGCAAAGCTTATATAATCTCCGTGGAAAAAACATGGCCAATAGAATGAGAGGCTCTGGAACAACCAAACACAAGTCATTCCAAAGGTCAGGTGTCAGCCAGGGGGTGTAAAGCCCGCCAGCACTGGGCTATGGAGCAGTGGAACTGCGTTCTGTAGAGTGATGAAGCACAATCCAATAGATGGTCTACGGCAAATTATCCAACATTACTACCTGACCTCACTTGTGCAGTGATCCAACATATAGTCTAAAGCCTTCTCGGAAGGTTAGAGGCTGTTTCTGTCAGCATTGAACGGATGTTTAGACTTTCAAACTGATACTTGATGGAATATTTTATTTTACTACTGAAGAGCAGAGTGTTTAGTAGATGATGCGCTACTGTGTTAAGATGTCTGCTTTATTTAATGTTACTGCATTTATAACTCTCCAGAAATAAATGTTATTTTTCTGTAATGCTAATGAAGGTAGTTTTGGGACAAATTTCTACAATTTATAAGCATTTATGTGTCTGCATTGCTATGTATGCTATGCATGGATAAATATCGCCTCCTGCTTTGGCCCACAATTCCAATATCGGTACATCCTTTCATATTAATCCCCTTGATTTTGGATGAAATATTGAATGAACGGGGGAATTACAGAAGCAATTAAATGTCATTCATTATTGCAGGCACGGCTGTTTGATGAGCCGCAGCTTGCCAGTCTCTGCCTGGAGAATATAGACAAGAACACTGCGGATGCGCTTGCTGCTGAGGGATTCACAGACATTGACCTTGGTATTATCATCATCTCTAAGTTAAATCTCTCTTATGCAGAGTAACATTCTGTTAATTAACTGATATGACACCATGATAAAATACATTTAGGCATTTAACTCCATTTCACCATTTGTTAGATACGCTGATGGCTGTGTTGGAGAGGGACACACTTGGGGTGCGAGAGGTGCGTCTGTTTGGGGCTGCAGTGCGCTGGGCGGAGGCCGAGACACAGAGGCAGCAACTGCAGCCCACTCCGGAGAACAAAAGGCGGGTGCTGGGTAAAGCCCTCGGCCTCATTCGCTTCCCACTGATGACCATAGAGGAGTTTGCAGCAGGTAAGAACTCAAATTAGCACCAGTGAGATGATACATTTCATTGATAATGTATTGATGCATTGTGATGCATCAGTCTAAAGGTGAATGATTTCTGTTATAATAGATTATAATCGGTTATATTAATCAATATATTTACATTTTTGACAAAAAATGAAATTCTCTGACAAATTTAAATATAAAAATCCAAAACTTTTAAAAAAAAGTTCTGAACTGTACCAAAATAGTTTAATGAAAATCAATTGAATTTTAATGAAATTGGAGAGTTTGTGATGGTGATGCATTGAATCTTTTTATGAAGAATCATACTCAGAGTGGAAGATTGTGGTCAGAGTTTTACATGTTATAAAGCTCTCTACATTTACTCATGAATTTATAAAAATAGCATTTAATATGTCTATCATAATCATATCATTAATTGAATCTGAAAAAAAGTTTAGTTAGTACGAACATAGCAGAGGAAGGGATTAGTAGGTGTTGAGTGGATACCGGTCACTGTCAGTTTCATGTTTGTTGTTGGACAGACTTAACTGAATATATCATAATTCTTTTTTTCTGAGAGGCGCTGCTTCTGGTGATTAAGCTTCCTTGGTTTTTGTGAGCAGGTCCAGCTCAGTCGGGTATACTCACGGACCGGGAGGTGGTCAGCCTCTTCCTGCACTTCACTGTCAACCCCAAACCCCATGTGGAGTTCATCGACCGCCCACGCTGCTGTCTACGAGGGAAGGAGTGTAGCATCACACGCTTTGGCCAGGTGGAGAGCCGCTGGGGATACAGTGGGACCAGTGATCGCATCCGGTAATAATTACAGTACAACACAGAGAACTACTTTTTCTTTTCATGAACATTCACTATTCGTTTAATTTGATACAGTTTAACATGGAAGATGCACAAAATAATGGAAATAGTGATAATGGCCAAATGAATAAATTGGGACAGACTGGTTGAGTATTTAACTGTCAAATGTTCTCCTTAGGTTTTCTGTGAATCGCAGAATATTTGTGGTGGGATTTGGGCTCTATGGCTCCATACATGGTCCAACTGACTATCAGGTCAACATCCAGGTGAGAAATGTCTCTTCTAAATAATGACATCAGGGGTGGAAAAAGTATGGATACTGTGTCTTAAATAGGGAGCCAGTAATATACTGTGAAAAGTAAAAAACAGTGTCAACCTTTTAAACATACGTAAGTATATAATAGTAAAAAGTAAATGCTTTAAAAAAAATATAAGTTTTGTTGGTGTGGTGCAGAGGTGGGCAGTATTACAATATTTCATTGTTAGCATGGTAAGTTGTATTATCGTTGTACACAGTATGGTTTTGTGAGCATATTGTGGATATCAACAGTACTTACAGAACACTGACCAACTGCATGTTTCATTACAAAGAGATCATAATTAGTCCTGTTTAATTAGATTTTGTGCAATACAGAATGTGAAATAGTGAATTAAATATCTATTAATAAATGTTATACCTGGTTTTGATGGCAGTTTTTAAGTGTAATTGGGGAAATGACAACGCCTTTTTCTTTCTTAACATGTTCTATTTCTGAATGAAACTGTCTGTTTGGGTGGGAAATAATTGTAGACGGGACATGATTTTACTCTTCAGGGAGTGTGAAAAGCAGGCATTCTGAAGTCAGACTCTGACGGTCAGCAGGGGGGAAAAAAACTATTTTGTCAGAAAATGTATTTTCTGTAGTTTATGAAACGTGATTCATTATTTATTAAAGGTTGATTTTAATGTTTTAAAAATACTTTTTAAGCTGTAGACAAGGTGAAATGGCGGTTAGCAGACTACCTTTTAGCATGTGTTTTTCACTTTTCTTACACTTTGGCAGCAAAAGAGAAAGTCTTCATGGAAAAAAAGAAGTCAGGTTATTGTTAAATTAAATCTGTGTATAAGAGTAACTATCTAACATGTGGGGGGGGCCTTACAGCACAGCCGAAAACTTCGGAAAACCACGCAAATACTGACAGATCTCACTCATGTTAACATGACCGTGGATTGTCAACGTAAACAAACAAATAACGCTGGTCCAAGAACCAATGAGGAGAAAGAAAACATTCTTGGTTAGTATAGTTTCTCCCAGCTGCAGGAACATGGTTACGCAACCAAACATCAAAAGATGTTTAAAGGCGGGCAAAAGTCGCTACGCTTCAACCAAGAATTTTGTCATGTGAGTGATATGACGCAATGGATTGTGCTTAATATGACAAAGAACATGAACTAACAAGGTGAAAATCGATTTTACACCTACTTGAAATGTGGCATTACTATCGGATTGTGTCTTTGTCAAAATATAGTTGTCCATATTCTTAAAATGCCTTCAAGGATTGTGATATTTTTGCCATATGCCCTAGTTGTGTGATTGCTAGTGTGTGGTGCGGCTACTATTTGGCAGTGCTTGTCCTTGTACAAAGATAAATTAGCATGCATTTAGTTGGATGTTTTAATGAAAACAATAAACTCAAAAACACAGGAACTCGAGACAAAAAGAGGAAAATCTTTTGGCGTATTCTTAAGGTCTAAATAAAAGCGCTAAGGAGCTAATACTATCTTTTTCCTTGGAACTGTAATTGAGTCCATGCACCAATATTCAATTTCAATAATACTCAAAGTAAAAACAAAATTGCTGTTCAAGTCCTTTCTATCTGTGCAAAACACACAGAATGTGTTTGGGGTTTTTACAAAACGTATGTCCCCTATGCAGATCATCCACACGGACAGCAACACAGTGTTGGGACAGAATGACACAGGCTTCAGCTGTGATGGTACAGCTAATACCTTCCGAGTGATGTTCAAGGAGCCTGTGGAAATACTACCCAGTGTCAACTACATAGCCTGTGCAACACTTAAGGTAATCTGCTGGGTCTTTTCTTGGGTCGACTGATATGAAATTGTCATTGATACCAGTAAAAATCTGGTATCCAGTAATACTGACTGATAATTGTATAGTCAAACATTAATCAGACTCCAGTACTTTACTTAAATAGTGCTTTAGTGACTTAAATGATTGTCAACTCTGATTTGTCAATTATTGTCCTTAATCTTTGGAACTAAATTTTATCTGTAAACGATATCAGTTAGACCCTACTCTTTTCAACTGTCAACTTCATGACTACAACTTATAAAATAAATTGTCTTTGAACCTCTGCAGGGACCGGACTCCCACTATGGGACAAAGGGCATGCGCAAAGTCACTCATGAAGCCCCGGCCACAGGCACCAAGACCTGCTTCACCTTCTGTTACGCTGCAGGCAACAACAATGGCACTTCAGTAGAGGACGGACAAATTCCAGAGGTCATCTTCTACACATAATGATGGACCTCTGTTAGTTTAAATTGTGTGGCCTCCTTCGCTACATATTATTACCGATTCCCTGAACTTTTCTGGTCTAACTGCAGATCAGTGACCAAATAATGATCTCTTATCATGATGTTTTCATTTTTTTGTTGCCATATGGTAAGAGCATGAGAAATCTATCAAGTGTCCAGGTGTCCAGGGCACAACTTTGTTTTTTCTACTTGTGTAGCACCACATAGTGTAAGCCTGAAGTTACAACCAACTAGTGATCACTTGGGGAATAACAGAAATCTCTCAACAGCTGTTGATAGTTAATCTATAGATCAGGCCTAATTCATGCGAAGCTGGCACAGCTCGATTTTTATTCTGTTAATGGCAACATTGTTTAATTTGTCAGTTTAGTTTAGTGTTGCTGAATGGTTTGCAACTGGGTCCAACTTTTGACTGATAGGTAAAATGCTCATTGCTTTGGAGTTGCACTGATGCACTTTTGACCCAGACGCAACTGCAAATTGTACAATGTTTGGGGGGAAAATACACTACAATTGTGTGGAACACAGACTGTTACATGTTTTCTGACACATAAAATTTGATTTGTCATGTGTAAAAGTAGGTAATGTTTACAATGAATGCTGTTTAACCATAGTTGCCCTCTTCATAACGGAGCCAAATTCCTAGTAGTGCACTTCAATTCTAAACACCATTGTTGAAGAGAAGCTCTATTCTTGAGTGAAGAAGTACTGAACACCTTTCTATAATTCTAGTTTACTGTTTCTATCTGGAGAAAAATAGATGATAAAATTTGGAGGATGATCACAGAACAACTTATTGAATGTAAAACTATTTGCCAATCTGTATATTGCTTATAAAATTTCAGTTTCACCAATGCTTATTGTAAAAGTGCTGTAAATATATCCATGTTCTGTATGTTCAATTAAAGTCTGTGCACTTAGTTTTTTTTTTTGAGCACCACTTGATATTTTCCAAGTGAGACGTGTTGAATCATTGCATGAAAGGAAGCATTTCATCACATGAACCATCTTATGGATTGTAGCAATAACTAGAGGGGCCGATGTGGCTGCAAATTGTAGCCACTTATAAGACTAAAAGACAGACCTACAGTATAAAGTTACATATCACTGCTGTCAGAAGTAAACCTCATATCTCCATTTTTGTCATTTTTCAGTTTTGGATCATTTGAAAATGCCTGTTGCCCTTTACTTTGTGTATACTTCATTTAGAACAGACCAAAACAAATGACCCAAAATGACTTCGAAAGAAGTCTGGTTCCATTGCCTTGCAATACAGCAAAATGAAAAGAAACCTTAACTTTAAAAGTAATCATTTGAGAATTTTACACAGTGATATAAACTGCATTCTAAATCAGACACAACATTTACTACTACACAACTAGTTAAGTCCACTAAAAACAATCAATTTTCCTTTTCCCTAAAATCTGTTGTGTCCACCTGACAGAACTCAATCAAGCCACTGTATTTCTCCTTGGATTTTAACTAGCATGTCAGGAAGGACATCAGTTAGATAAGGAGTTGGAGCAGGTGTTCTAAAGAAGACCAAGAACTCTACAGTTCTACTTACAGTAACAAGGGGTGGGAGCAATACCCCACAAAAACCAATATCAAGCCAACAGCAAACCATCCAATGCATGTAACACATGGATAGTAGTTACTGCACTGCAATGGCATTAAATTAGTGAAATATTGCAGGCAACCCAAGTGCAACAGACATAAGCACCACAGGTTTTATTTTACAAAACATGCTACAAAGCAATTAATGTCCACTCAACACAATTTTTATTTCCTTTATTAATGTTTAAATTTATTATTGATCGATCTTGTCTTTACTTTTGGCAAGCGTTAGTGCTCGTGATGTTCTGTACAGTCCAGTCCCTCGATTGGGAGGGGAGGGTAGTGGGGGAGGAGAGGAATGGGACAGGAGCTTTACAATTTGTCCAAGTAGTTATCCAGAGCTGGAATTCCTTCCTTGAGACCCTTGCGCTTGCGTGTGTCTGCCACTATCTGAGCAGGCTTGGTGTTAGGCTCCATGGGGTCTCCGGGCAGGACCTGCCAGTGGTCGAACACACACTGTGGGAAGGCCTGACCAGAGGTGTTGGAACGGAGGTCAGCAGTGAAACCTGGGCAGAAGAGAGAACATTTTAGCTCAGCATTCAGCACAACTTGATACTGCTAACAAACTGGGGGTGGGGTTTGGCCCACTTACCAAAAGACTCATTGACAGGCAGGTAGGCCTTGACCACAAACATGGGTGTTCCTGCAACCTGGGACTCCTCAAATACCAGACCTCTCTTTCTGTTCAGTACACCATAGATGCCACCAACAACAGCCTCAGGGCACTGTGGACAGAAAAAAGCACCATCAACCCCTGGCCTACAGCTTAAAGCAAGCAATGGACATTTTCTGAATGATAACTTTTGGAACTACTTGCCTGGATCTCCACCAGGTAGACGGGCTCAAGGAGCCTTGGCTCAGCCGTGAGCTGGCAGGCGTAAAGCACTCTGCGGGCTGTAGGAATGATCTGGCCACCACCACGGTGGATGGCATCAGCGTGAAGAGTCACATCATGAACGTCAAAGCGACAGCCACGCATGTTCTCCTCACAGAGCACACCCTAGAGGTCAAAACATTTGTCTTAGATAAACAGCTATACAAAAAAAATAAATAAATAAAATAAGGAAAGTCCTGGAAGCATTAAAAAGCCCACCTCCTTGGTGGCCCACTGGAAGCCAGCCACAACGCTGTCCTTGATCTCATTAAGGTACTGGACTCCCTTGGTCACATCCACCAGGAGGTTGGGGCCGGTTCCGTCAGGACCAAAGCACCAGATCTTACGGGCCTCAGTCACCTCCCACTCATACTTCTCAGCCAGATAACGGGCACGGGCTTTCAACTCCTGCCTGGATGTGACCTCACCCTTATCGATGTCCTCGGGCAGACCTTCGGCCAGGGGACGAGCCTTCATGAAAAGACGGTTATGCTTGTTGGGGGACTTAGACAGGCACATTTGTTTGGACTCCTCGGACACGGTCTCTCTGTAAGACACAACTGGGTCGGATTTCTGTGAGGGGGTGGGGAAAAAAAAAAAGAAAAAAGGCAAATTACATCAGTCATTAATTTCAGGTTGCACATCATGCCCACTGGTAATAAATACCTAATTTGGTAGTACCTTCAATGGAATGCAGGCATGGTCCTCCTCAAGATCCTTCAAGCAGATCTCAAGATGCAGCTCACCAGCACCAGCAATGATGTGCTCTCCAGACTCCTCAATAATACACTGCACCATGGGATCAGACTTGGCTAGACGTTTCAGGCCCTCCACCAGTTTGGGCAGGTCAGCAGGGTTCTTAGCCTCCACGGCCACTCTCACCACAGGGCTAACGCTGAATTTCATCACACGCATGTTGTGAGCATGCTCAAAGGTGGTGATGGTCCCTGTCTTCACCAAAAACTGGTCCACACCTACCAGACCCACGATGTTACCACAGGGCACGTCCTCAATGGGCTCAACATAGCGGCCCATCATCAAAATGGTCCTAAATTGGGGGGGAAAAAGGTTAAAGACTTCCTATGAAATTGCTCTCCCTTTGCGTGAAACTTTCAGCTTGAATAGCCTTTGTCAAGTGCCACGTCACTTTAAGGATTAGCCAGATCTATTAAAATTAACTACCGGTTTGACAAGTCCATGAACTAACCTCTGGATGGGTTTCAGATAAAGATCTTCCTTCTTTCCAGGGGTGTAGTTTGGTCCCATAATGCGTACCTTCTGGCCAGTGGACACACAGCCAGAGAAGACACGCCCAAAGGCATAGAAACGACCCTTGTCGGAAGTTGGCACCATTTTTGAGATGTACATCATAAGTGGAGCTTTAGGGTCACAGTTCTTGATACCTAGGATTCAGTAACGGTTGACAAAATCTGTTACTTTGGCAAAATTATCCACATAACTAAATAAAATAAAATCTTTATACAAAAGGCCTGTCAAAATAATAATGGAAATGGAAAAATGCAAACACTTGCATTTTTCTTACTCTAAAAATGTCCAACTTTAAACACCAACACCAGCCCAACATACCCATGGCAGCCTCATCATCTCCAGGTCCTTCATACAGCAGCTCACAACGGTACTTCTGAGCAGTGACAGGGGAGGGAAGGTGGATGGTAATCATCTGAAGCAGGGCCTCTCCAGCTGGCAGCCAGCGACGCATCACAGCCTTCAGCAGGGGCTTGCCCTCCTTATCCTTGTCCTCCTGGTCCAACTTGATGTCCAACTTCTCAATCAGCTTGGCAGTTTCCTCCTTCTTGAAGTTCATGATGGCATCAAAAACCTGTGACAAAAGAACACCATGAACAACCTTGTAACTAACAAATGTACCCTTTATAAAAGCCAGCACTTATCCTTTTCTTTGCCACGCTGAATCAGACTGAAATCTTTCATCACTAACAATCAGGTCAAAGTGAAGAATTCAAGTCATCACTTGATGGCCTACATAAATACCTAATTACACAAACCCGGTACATAATCTTCACTCACTTTGAAGATGGGGTCCAGAATGAGTTGAGCAAAGGTTCTGGGGAGCTTCTTGCCATCAGGTCCAATAGCAGACTTGCTGAACTTGCCAGTGGCAGGGTCAAAGTACCTGCAGACAAAAATTCAAAAAGTCAATTACTGAACTGCACTGTAAAAAAGCAAACCACCCTGTGGAATCCCTGAAGAGCATCAAAGCCCATTTTCAGGTCTAAAACAGCCACAAAGTCAGAGAACTCACCTGTCACCCCACAGTTTCTTCATCATGTCCTCCACTTTCTTACAGCGCTCTGCAGGTCCCAGTTGGGCATCACCCTTAGCAGCAAATTTCATCACATACATCTCAGCAAACTGTTTGAGGGTGAAGGCCCAGCCGTGCAGTCCAGACCCAAACCCGACAGTGCCAACAACTGGATCAATCTAAGGCAGAAGGTTTAGAAATCAGATTCAGAACACTGAAAGCTTACCAAAATGGCATAATTTGCATTCTTCCTTGGACCAAAATTAGACTTAAATTTCAATAAACTCATTAATGACTGAAGCCTCAGTTGTCAAGCTTCAAGTAACTAATCACAAGTGTGATCACAAAAGATGTACTACAAAATATTCTTACCATAATGTTGCCCATTGGTCCATTCTCATCTTCGCCGTAGGTGGAAATGATTACGTTGACGTTCTCCACAATGCGCTGGAAGGTCTGATACAGCTCCTCAGGTTCCAGCTGCAGCTCCAGCAGGGCACGGTCCATCTTGTTCATCATCAGCACAGGCTTGATCCTCTCACCAATGGCCTGTCTCAGCACAGTCTCAGTCTGCACACACACACCTGGAATGAGAGGAAACAGGCAAGATTAAAAAAGAGCTACGCCCCCTAAATACAACACTGTCCAGCTGAATGAGCAGCTGTGCCCAGCAGCAACTTCCTAACACGGAAGGAAAAGACAACAGTTTCACAATTGTGCTTTCAACATGCATAAGGTCTTGTACTTACCAGACACGCAGTCGACCACCACCAGGGCTCCATCAGTGACACGCAGGGCAGCAGTCACCTCTGAGGAGAAATCGACGTGCCCAGGGGAGTCGATCAGATTGATCAGAAAGCCAGAACCATCCTTGCACTGCTTGATGAAGGCCAAGTCGTTGTCAGTTAGCTCGTAGAACAAGGAGATGGCACTGTAAAAAAAAAAAAAAAAAAAGATGAGATTAATAATCCTTCAACTTGATGTAGCAACAACAAACCGGGCACCAAGTTCAACAGCACAACAGGCAATCTATGATAAAAAAAAAAGCTTGTGCTGAGTGGGAGCTTGTTTAGATTGGCAGAAACACTCACGTGGACTTGATGGTGATGCAACGCTCCTGCTCATCCTTTCTTGTGTCGGTGAAACGCGTTTCTCCGGCACGGGCTGAAGCAATGATACCAGCCTTGGACACCAGCGAGTCAGTCAAAGTGGATTTACCGTGGTCCACGTGTGCAATCACAGACATGTTACGGATGTTGGACTTTTTGTCCATGATGGCCCGGATCTGGTCTACGGTGAAGTTCACCTGAGGGAAGAGAAAGATGACACGTCAGAACTGGAATAAAAAAAGTAAAACAAAGCTAGGACTTAGCTGCAGATTTCCCCAGCTGACACAACTGCAGCTATGAAAAAGACAAACAATTAACCTATTCGATCCCAGTACACTCGTCTTGCCAGGCATTGTAAAAAAGACAAAACGTGAGTGGGGCCCGCAATATTTTGCTGACATCACCGTAACCGCGCCCCGATGACTTCGATTCGATTGAACACAGACGTCAAATGGCGATGAAGGCAGGACCTCCACTCTGAGTAGCGGAGTAAAAACAGGTAGAGATTCTTCACTCAAAACCTGCCGCAAAGTAGCGAAGACAAATGCCATATCAAACTGCGTAATAATGACTACGCAGTTTCAGGAATTAAGATTTTCGATGCCTCGTAACAGCTAAAAGCAACGCAGCCAAACAGCAGCTTCTGACCTGCGCCACATCAAGCCGGCAACAGGCCACGTGTACCAAAGATAGCGGTGGACTTCAGGGCCGGCTAGAATTTTAACAAAATATGGGTCATTCTTACTCATTTCTAACCTCCAAGCTGTTCTTATAGTATTTGCCAATGTCTGCTTCTACACAACCAGACTAATCCGGCACGATACAACCGTTTAAAAACCATTTTTCCCCTCAATTTCTTCGAGCGATGTTAGCAACATAGCTAGTTAGCGAAGTAGAGGCCAACGCCTGAATACGAGCTAAAGACCGGTAAACTACGCCACACATTTAACATCACACAAAACGGACCAACAAGCAACGGTAACCTAATTTAACAAAACTTAACGTCTAACACAAACACGAGACGTTGAACTACGGCTTCTGTGCGGCTCGGAAAGGGCCGTAATACAGAAACACAATAGGGCTGCCATTTTGGGCTGATGATGTTGGCTCCCAGTCTCAACAACAGAAAAATAGCACCTTTAACTTCAGTTGGACGCCTAAATTAACACACAGTGCTACGATGTGAAGACTTACTAAAGCATAGGAGTTAGAAAGTGGGCAACAAACTCACCATTTTGACGGATGTTTTTGGATTCGCTGTATGGAGAAACAGACACAGAAGTTACACTGCCCACCTCACCGGGGCATAGGCAGGGAAGAGACCGCTGACGTCAACGCGTAGGAATATATAGCGAGTGCGCGTTCGACGTAGCCTTGCGTGACGACGTCAGGCTCGTTCCACTATGCACACTAACTAGGGATCAAACTAGGGCGTTTGGCTAGTGTATAGGATATTGGCCGACAATTAGACGGAGAGGAGCCGATAAGCACGCTCCACTAAAAGTGTCGCTACAGCTTTGAAATAATGACGGTAGTAGAAATTAAAATAAAATAAATAAATAAATAATAATAATAATAATAATAATAATAATAATAATCAATAATAATAATAATCAATAAAATAATAATCAATAAATAAAAACCACCAACTCGAGCACCTTTTAACATTCTGCTGAAACCCTTGGAGGACTAGTTAGCTTCTAGCATCAAATGTTAGACTTCGGCTTTTATTATTATTGTTTCTTTACTACCCCCTATTGCTCTTTTTAGGGTCATTTAAATCTGATATAAAATCCTATAACTCTAAAGTGTGAGGTGTGAGCAACAGCACAGAAGTCCAGGTGCTGTCAACAATAAAAAAAAACAGAATTAAATTAAATTCAGATGCATAAAAACCTTATATTACATAAGATGAAGCTAGCATATATGAGTAATACATGCCCTTCATATATGCATATGTTATAACATATATTGGTAACTATGTGTTAAACATATGTTAATATATTTTGATATATATCTGAAATATATGTTCCATATTTGAAAATGTCTAGTTTCAAATAAGTTGGCATTTATGTCACATGCATGTCCGTGTGTAACTGATCTAAGCAGGATATAAGGTAAATCCATATATGATAACGTTTGTCATGTACTTGAAACCAGTATATTACCGTATATCAGAGTTCTACATGGGTAAAAATTAGATTTCATTGATTACAAACATCCAAGCGTAAGCAGAAAGGTATAGAAGTAAAAACGAACAAAACGATCACAATTTAAATGTGAATAGCTGGTCCGCCTCTGTAAAATGGGCCGTTTGGTTGCGTTCCAATAAGCGAATTTGTGTTCTAACTGGAGCACTTAGACAGGGCCTAGAATTCGAGAACGCTAACTAGACCGCTTAGTCAGCGTGGAGAATCTTGCTCACTGGCTAACTGTCTCGCGAGAACATAAGAACGCATATTGGAACGCGGCCAAAGTTCCACTTTGTTTCGGCAAAGAAAGAAAGTCCTGAAAAATCCAAGCAGCGATATTTTGACTGGTGGGTGACGCGCTAAACCCGCAACAGTTCTAAGTCTGCAACCTGCCAATGGCTAACATGGATTACTCGGGCGCCATTCATTACAGCCGTACCGAAGTACGGAAACATGACGTGTGGTTCTGGTTTGGGTGAGCTAATAGATGTGAAAATCAGTGCTGTCACTGCTCTTGTGCAATAATGTGCTGTAGAATTATTGTAGAAAACCTTGATACTTGACTAGATACTCTCAGCAGGTGGCGCTATTTCTCTGGTAACACACGGGCACCTCCAATAGCAGCTGCTGCCTGTGCAAGTCAGGATTGAAAGTGCTGTGTAGAAACTACATAAACCAGGTTTTGCATACCAGCTTGCGTTAATCCTGAATTTAATGACTGACTACAGATCTCATTATAACGTACTATTGGTATTATTACCAGATTTCTGGACAGACCCTGGAATCTATGTTAAACTGTTCTTTTTTACATTTAATTTGCTATGGATCAGGTTTTTTTATGGCAAGTAACTATTCATACAAAAACAGAATAACAGTAAGATACATAAAAGCTTAACATTAACAAACAAAAAAACAAAACAAAACAAAACAAAACAAAACAAGGAAAGCTTTAACACAGCAATAGATTTACAAAATGTCCTGTTTTGCTTCAGGCACAAATTCACTAATGTAGATGTGTAATTGTGTCAATCTGTGCAGACAAAGGTCATATTCTCATCTTATGTAAATAAAATTTAGCTATTATTATGATCTAGTTTATCATAAAATGCTCATCAGGGTTAAATAAAGGGCCATCGAAAGGTAATAAAACACAATGATTTTAATAGGTTTTTCTTTTCAAGTCTAAAAAAAGATCAACCCACAAAGAGTAAAAACCACACAATAGAAAAATCAGCCTTCAATGGATTCTGTAGCCCCTCAGGTTTTTACTCACATGTGGGGACTATAAGAAAACATGAAACACGGTTTAATGATTTGTGTTGCTCAGTATTTCAGTTCTTTGCTTTTTAAATTCAGAGGGAATTTTACAGATTTTTCCAAATTTCTGCACAGTCAAGTCTTTGAGTTGTAAC